ATTTTTAAAGGAATTTTCTAAAATTAGAACGGAAGATTTTAAAAGTGCCAGTTCATGAATGTCAAAATTGACGTGTGTGGATGACAAAGATGGTGTACGAACCAGACAAATATCAGCGAAGTAGATCTTGTTAGCCAATTGGGAATACCTGTGTCTTTTTAAATTTTAAACTGGGTGCAGTGTAACAGCTACGTGAGTGTATACACCTGATGATGGCCGTTTGCAGCTGGAACATGTAGTGTAGAAGAAAGCAAAACAAAAGACCTACAATAAATTGTTGCACTTAGGATGGAATTTATATCACATATTGTATAGAGTGTAACAGGATGCTTAAATATAATATTAAAGCATGTGACAAACACAGCTGTCATACATTATAAAGTGAATAAAATACTTAACACACACTGACATACAACACACATACTCATATTACACTACAAAATCGCAATTAAGGGCACATTCTGTCATCATATGAGTGGTTTGGGCTGAGATGTTATAGGTGAAGGTAAAAGTAAAGGCACAATTAACCTTGTTTTTCATTAATAAAGGACCAAGCCATAAAGAAGTATGGGGGAGTGGATGTATAGTTCCAATGTTCTTAACCTCAGCACTAGATAGAGGGCAGTGGTCAGCTTCATATCCTTACCACTTTCCCGCCAGCGAAACAGCCCCCAGTAACCATTGCATATTTGGATGCGTGAGCCCCAGAGCTGGTTTGGTTATTATGGAGAAGAGAAAAATCATATGCCCTTGCCAGAAATCGCAGCCCAACTCCTTGCTCACCAATTCCATAGCCTAGTTGCTATACCAACTGGGCTACCCCGGCTTCTGAGATGCTATAGGAGTGAAGAAAAAGGGAAAAAGTTACATTTGCAAAGGGATACTGAATGTGAAAGCATGAGAGATTGCTGTTACAATTTGAGATCTTACACTTTAACTATAACACCTATAAAATAAGAACTAAGTTGGAGTTATTCCTTGCTTATTCACTTCTTTATTTATAGTTTAATAACGATGTAAATAGCTCAGACTACACAGCACTGAATGGTGTTCCAAGTCCTTGTAAGAGCAAGATTTTTCTTCTCTCCCCATCAACTAGATTAGTTCTGCGGCCCACCCAGCCTCCTATCCAATGGGTACCAAGGGCGGGGGTTCTTTCCCAGGCAGTAAAGCAGCCAAGGAGTGAAGCTGACCACTCAACTCCAACCAGTGCCAAGGTCAAGAATACATGAATCAATACATCCACTACCCCATACGTCTTCATGGCACAGTACTGAAAAACTGGACGATTAATGAAAAATGAATTTGAAAGGATACAAAATGAAGAGGTTGTGGCATAATTTAAGGAATCTTGTAGTATTTGCTTTGAAGGGTTCAGAAAAAACATGAAAACCCTAAACAGGATAGGTAGCCTCTGCAATGAGATTTGAACTCAATCTCTTGAACGTCAAGGAGTGCGACCACCTTGGCATGACATTTAATACCCGTGGTTATGAATTTTGAAATGCTGCCAGAAAATGGCATTATGTATTTTAAGATGATATTCTAATTCTTGCCATAAGGAACTAAGACAGTGGTCTTCCCTCGGCCTATGTGTGTTGTCTTGACAACTTGTGGTGTCTGCGTGAGTCCTGATTATATATTTTATTGGACCAAGGACATATGATGTGTAGTCATCATGAATTTGTAATGTGTGATATGTTTTACATCCAGCCCTACGGGGAGATGATTGGATCCATGAAATGAAAATAAATGTAAATGTAAGAGAGTCATGATGAACCACACGTGGAGATGATTCCAAATCTTGTCCCAGGAGAGAGATGAGGCAAAGTACATCTTCAGACAGGAAATGTTCTGAAAAGCACATTTGAGACTCACTTCACTGCAGATCAGATTCTTTTACTTGTCTCATTACTGAGGCAAGAAACATACATGTTTTCAGTACAGTGATTCCACACCTTCTCTTTTACTTTATTTGAATTTCTGTAACTAACAAGAAAACTAAATAAGTACCTGCAGAACCCTACAGCAATTTCTAAAGTAGTTGTTATAGTAGTTAGTTAGTTAGTTATTGGAGAGGGTGGGTTTCCCCATGCACTTAGACCTGTATTGGTCCATTGTGCTTTCCTCTATGATTTCTACCAGTCTCTATATCCTACCGGTACTGGTGCTTACCATCAGTCCCACCCAGCCGGCAAGACCGGCTCTACTAGCTGAGAGGTATCTATAATGCTTCCCCCATCTACCAGAGGTATTAGAGACTGCTGTTGGGCGGGAAACGTCCTTGAGTTTGGCTCAGTGACCTCCTTAGGTGATATGAGGTTCTTTCACGTGCCGTAAAGCTACAACACAGGACCCACGGCTTAAAGTCCCTCCCGGAGGACTTGTTCCCTGAATTTTTCCGCCCTTAAAAATTCGACAACCTCCGCCGGGTATTTGAACCCGCGTACTACGAGTCATGGGGTGGGAACGTTACCTCTAGACTATGGAGGTCGCTAGTTGTTATAGTAACTCACACTGTTAATTTAATTTCTTTACAATAAAATGTGTATATCTGAAGTTCACCTCTTATTTAATTCTAAAATTCTTTAATATCACATACACATTAGAACACTTGTAAGCCTGTGTATACAACAACAATTAGAAAAAAGTCTGTGACTACCTGAAACTGGAATTTCAACCTCCTCCCTAAAGTAAGGTGTCAATTTGCACTGTAACAGTGTTTAGAGCAGTATTTCTCCCTGTTATCAATAAACCTGACAAACTGACACTGCTTTACCTACCTATCGATCTGGTTTGAGGATATTTGCAACATGAGGCTTCATGGTTATTTTGCATTGTACACATTACCTAGGAGCTGAGATAACATAGTTGGTATAGTGACTGGCTTCGGGCTGGACGACTGAGGGGTCAGAGTTCGAGTTCTGGTAGGGTCAAGAATTCTCTCTTCTCCACGTCATCCAAACTGGCTCTGGGGTCCACCCAACCTCCTATCCAATAGGTACTGGGGGCTCTTTCCCCAGGGGTAAAGCTGACCACTCACCTCCAGCTAGTACCGAGGTCAAGAAAATGTGGATCTATACAACCATGCTCCCATACGCCTTCATGGCATAGTGCTTACTTAGTTAAGCACAGGGACAACTTTACCTTTACTTTACACATTACCTTATGATTTGACTTGAAAACATGAAGCCAGCCAGTTTTCTAACAAAACTACCATTTCTTCTATACGCCTTAATTCAGCTTCAAAGTTATCCACAAATTACATCAAATTATTTCATGCTGCATGAATTCAGAAACAATGGTTTAAGATTGATTTCTTCACAGAATTAATTTTTATTGCTTTGAAAAAATTACTTTGTTAATGCTTTTCCTTCTTACAATGAAAGTGTAGAGTTTGCAGGACAATCATTTCATCTAAATATAGAGCTAAATGTAAGGCATTCTTAGGCTGCACCATAACTCCAGCAGTTAGTCGTTGGCTTCCCACCATGGTGGACTGGGTTTGATCCTGGGTCTGGTCAAGTGGGATTTGTGGTGGATAAAGTGGCGCTGGGGCAGGTTTTATCCGAGTACTTCGGTTTCCCTTGCCAATCTTCATTCCACCAATTGCTCCACAATCACCCTCACCTATCATCTGGGGCTGGTACAATAGGCCAGAAGTGGCCGCAGGACAAAGGACTTAGTCCCACCCCACTAGCAATTAAAAAAAGGCACTCTTAGATGGCCGTGCCATAGCTCTAGTGGTTAGTTGTTGGCTTCCCATCGCAGCGGCCCTGGTTCGATCCTGGGTCTGGTCAAGTGGGATTTTTGGTGGACAAAGTGGCACTGGGGCGGGTTTTCTCCAAGTACTGCCAATCTTCATTCCACCAAATTCTCCATCATCATAATCACCCGGGGCAGGCTACAATAGGCCAATCAGTGGCTGCCATGCCAAGTGGATCCAGTTGGACTCCACCCCCCACTAAGTGAAAAGGCAGTCTTATAAATTTTCCGCTCTATCATGGCTTCAGGAGATTTTGGTGTTCTACAAATTCAACATGACCATTTGCATGAGACATATGATTATACCAACAGGACTAGAGCTTTGCCATTGTCTTGTGACAGTCTAAACTGCACTGCAAATGTGATGAAAGTATGTCTTTGGTGAGCAGGACCTCAAATACTACACAGTATACATATGGTTTACCGCTGAGGAGTCATAAGGATAAATCATGGGTGGTAAGTACTAAATGTTAGCAATACACAAACATTTCCTTAAAAATGTAACATATCACTCAAGTCTGGCATGTGACCATAAGCGACTAGGTTACAGGCTGGATGATGGGAATTGTTGGTTCCATTCACAAGCACGTACAATATGTTTCTTTTCTCCACAATACACAAACCGACTGAAGGCCATGTCACCTATCCAATTGGAGCTCTTTCCTTGGATGTAAAGTGGAGGGAACCTGAAGCTACCCATTCACCTCCAACTAGAACAGATGTATACGTGAAGGTCCAGCTCCACTACATCATATAGTGTGCTGCTTAATCAATGACAGGGAGAAACTTTCTTAACCTGATGCATGTACACAGGTATCAATTTCATTTAAGGCGAGGTACCTACTGGCCACCAAATTATAACAAGCAAGACTCTCCAATCCATTCTGAATGTACCTTGGTACATAACTACAGGGTCCATAAAGATCTAGAAATGAATACAGTGCTCAATGAAATCAAAAAATGAAATACAAAACACTTACGAAAATTAGAAAACCACACTAATATACTAGCAATGAACCTACTAGACAACAGGGAGACTACACTAAAAAGATACACCATGCTAACTCTACCAGACAGACCTGAGCAAAACCCCAATACAAGAATTAAAATGATACCTATGTAAACATAGAGAAAAGTGAGTATATGAGTTACGCAACTGGGGAGCCAGTACTTATTGAACATATACATTTATTGCAGATTGTGTATAATAAATGTGTGAAAAATAGTTCACGTACATACCAATACAAGAGAATGCAACACATGATTCCTTACGTTTCCTGCACATCAAGACAATTATCTGTACCTGATACGCAGTAACACTCGATGCATTCGTCTACGACCTAGCGCACACATGCAATTTTTAGTTTGCCGATAGTTCGGCACGTCGCCGAGAAACATTACGTTTAATGGGAGTGCGCACACATCACGATAGTTCCCGATCGTTCCCGATAGTTCCAACGGTTCCAACAGTCGGTAAGCAGTTGTGTTATACCTTAACTGCACGCGGACCCAACTGTTGTTGATAACGCCGATGTACCTGAGCTGTAAACCGAATTAAACTTAAGGCATTTTTATTTTTCATGAGTTCTGCTTCCAAACACGTAAATACTTTTTGCACGAACAGAAATAGCAGAAACTATTTAAATGCACGTTTAGTGAGCGTATTCATTAAGCTTATGAATGGTTCGTTTGGTTCTATCAGTCACCTCCTCGTGTAGTGATCCATGATTATGGGAACTGTATGCAACGAGGTGCCCTAAGGCAAATTATACCAATATTACTCAACTACTGAACGCTACTGAATGTATCGTATATAAATGGCTGTAAAGTAGGTACTTCGCTTTGCTCTTCGATTTGATTTGGATCGGTAGCACGCAATGACCGATAAAGACAATTGATGGTAGTTATACAAACGTACAATGTGTGGGTTGTGCTATGGTTGTGACCGTTGTGGCTCTAAGGAGCCTAAGGAGAGTGACATATGAGTTGGAAATGTTTCTGGTAGGACTAATGCAGTTAGACAGTGTCAGCAGTTTTTAATTTACCTCGTGAGAAATTATGTAAACACTGTAAGAAAGAGATTATTGGAAGGTAAAAATATTAAATAATTAACGTGACTATAGAGTGTATATATATATATATATATATATATATATATATATATATANCTACACCAAGTGAACACCTAATAATGTTAAAATACATCCGTAGGACGAAGCAGAAATATGTTTACTATGGTATGTTTTTTCTTGAACGTATTGTTTTCCCAGCTGTAAATGGCGTAGTCTGTAATGTGATTACATTCCAAGTCATATAAGTTTATCCCCCTATATTCCTGTGGATACCGCTTAGTTCCCTTGTTCTTCCACTACTATGTGTACTTGACACCATGTACATGCATTTTCTGGTAAAGTTAGACGTAAAAAATAATACATATATATAGGTTCAGAATATTTGTAGCGCAGAATTTGCCAATAAAAGTGATACAGTGACAAATACTGGAAGTGTAACTTATCATATAAGATATTGTTACCATCATGTAATTAGTGAGGTATGATTTATTTAACATGTTTAAATAGTGAAAGTTGACTGATCTTTCCACCTTTACTTTTATATTTATTTTCACTTCATGGATCCAATCATCTCCCCTTAGGGCTGGATATAAAACATGTCACATATTACAAATTCATGATGACTACACATCATTCATCCTTTGTCTGATAAAATATATAATCATGATTCTCACAGATAGCTCAGGTTGTCAGGACAACACACATGGGTCATGGAAAAACCACAGTCAAATTCACCCTTTGCCATTCCACACACACTGGCAAGCCATATCATTAAAACAGTTACATTATAAAATATTAAAACTCATAACAAAAACAGATATCATACATACTGCTACACTTACAACAAGCAAGTCCCAACAATATATAATTCATGCACACAGACCATTTATTAACTCTTGAGCCCCTTGCATGCTTGACAAATTATGTTAATTCCATCTCATCTATGTGATTGCAGAAGGCAGGTTGGAATGAGTGATACATCCACCAGCTGGACGAACCTTTTCTAGAATACATGTTCTGACAGTAAAGTTCATGAACTCATCATGGTAAAGTCCTAACCTCATTGCTGAATATCTCTGTGATCACCTTCAAAGTACTCCCCTTGGGAAGCTATACACCAATGCCAGTGCCTAGTACATCCTTCAAAATAATTTTGTAACTGGTTTTGTGGAATGGCCTTCAGAGCTTCTGTCATATTACTCCTGATATCATCAACAGAAAAAAAGTCATTGGGTCTAGATCTGGTGAACTGGGAGGGTGTTCTAGCACAGTTATTTGTTTACTAGCTAAAAACTCCCTCACAGACAATGTTCCTTTGGGACCATTTTTGCACACACCTTCCTCATGTCAAGATCTTCAATTAAGATTTTCCCAACTGTCGATGTTCGCTTGCTCTGCTATGCCCCTGACAGTCAGCCGATGATTTTCACACACAATTTGACTAACTTTTGCAATGTTTTCTTCAGTTCTGCTTGTTGCTGGACATCCTGATCTCTATTCATCAGTGACACTTTCTTTTCCATCAGAAAAACTTGTCACCCGCTTGTAAACTGCTCTTCTCTTCATAGCATTATCCCTGTAAATTTGCACTAACATATCTCTGATTTCGCTTCAACTCTTGCCAAGTTTAACAAGAAATTTCATGTTTATTGATCTAATTCAAGTTCTGACATTCTCGTGATGGCACACCAAAACACACTTAGACAATAATAGACGCCACTCAGAAAGAGAGTGCCATAGATCAACAGCACAGCTGTGAAATGCTAATATGCCAACATCATCAAACTATACTGAGGTTTGTGTCCACTGCTGCCATGGCAAGCACACAGTGGAGAGTTCCCAAACTTTATTGTGAGACCTTGTACATCATCCAGCTGGCAGAGATCAGTTGTAAATATTTTCTGTGTTATATTCATTATCAAGGTATTTAAAACTTTAAATTTTAGAAATTTTAGGTTTTAAACTGTAATTCTAAAATCAAATTGATGAGCAAGTGTTGGCGAGATTTTAAAACAAAACTGACAGGCTGATGTTTTAGATTTTGGACTGTGTGCAGTGTGACAGCTATGTAGTAAGAAATACACCTGATGATGGCCAATTACGGCCAAAACATGTAGTGTAGAGGAAGAAAAGACAAAGATCTGCAACCAAATAAATTGTTGCATTCATGACAGCATTTGTATTATTACATATAGAATAGAATGCAGGTTTTGTATTTGTTTTGTTTCTTGGGGTGACTAATTTTATCGGAAAGATGTATTAAAAATCTATGTTGTCTGTGTTCATAATGTGCCATTTAAGGGTAAAACTCTTATAGTGTACGTGGGTGTTAAGTTTGGTGTCTGATATGAAGGGAAGAACACAGGCTGAGGGTTTTGGAGAACAGGGTACTGATAAAGTCAGGGTGGCTTCAATTGGCTGGGCATGTACCATGCATGGGATTGAAAAAGATGCATACAGAGTTACTGGAAAGAAAGATACCACTAGCAAGTCCTAGATGTAGATGAGAGGATAAGATTAAAATGTATGTTAGAGAAATAGGATGGAAGGGCATAGACTAGATTCACTTGGTGCAGGATAGAGACCAGATGTGTGCTTTTATTAACGCAGTAATAAAGCTTCAGGTTCCATAAAATGTTATGAAATTCTTGAGTAGTTGAGAAACTTTTGGCTTCTCACGAAGAACTTGGCTCCCTGGAGATTACTTGTTTGGTCGGTCGGTTAGATGTAAACTTTCCTGACTGTGCAAACCCACCACATAATTTTGCTGCCAGTTCTATCTCTAATAGAAACCACTTTAATTTATATAATGCATCATATTGTAAAGATATACAAAGTAAATATGTTATTTCATCATTTCATGATAATGGCATAAATTGATGAGAAGGGTAAGTACATGATATAATGACCCTGTAATCACACAAAGATGCAAACTTAACCAGCTTCTACACTGCTCTACAATATGCTGGTTGTCAGGTTTGTTGCTGTAGCCTACCCTTCCTTGGGACCACGTGCATTTTGCATGTTTACCCAAAAACATAAGTTGTTTCAAAGGATCCACAATGAGGGCTTGGAAAGAAACCTCACACATCTACAAACATTTATTTCAGTCCACACTACTACTTATTTCTTTGAAACACCATAAATGTTGAAAGAGTCTAAAAAAAGAGTAATATTATGAAAGTATAATTTAACATAGCCTGACATGGCTGGCTATGGAACTACATTAAACAGTATAAGCCTGTCACCAGTGTGTTACTAATATGTGATCAGAAAATGTTTGAAGAAAAGTGATTACGTCAGTTATCAGAAAGAAATGAATAGTATTGTAACGTGTTTCGAGTTCGAATCTCGTTGATCACGTGTGTAAGTCCAAATCCCACTTCTGACACCAGTGTAACGTGTTTACGTTACAGAAGACGCCGTAGTGATGGTTAATTGGTTTATTTAACAATCTACAAATAACGGCTACAATTAATTATCACACAGTTGCGGGGTTTCACACTTTATAACCCTAATCGCATTAATCTGTCGACACTGTTGCGGGGTTTCACGATTTATAACCCTATGCGCAAATCAGTTCACTCTGTGTTCAGTAGTATACACGTTGACAGTAGGGGAGCTATGTATCACTGTATCACACGCTCCCAATTACACAATCCCACACACGTCTGGATCTTCTTTCCGCGCCATTGCTATACTCCAACTATAGTCGGCTGACTGGAGAACTGTTGATAACACACTCGCTCGTCGACTACTTAACTCAGCGATGTCCACATTATAACTCGGAACTGTCTTCGGCGATGGCCAGGTTACAACTAACTCGGTGGCTGTCACAGTACAACTGAAGTCGCCGACTGCTACAGTGGAACTGACTGGTACCTGCTGTGCAGCTCACTTATATAGCTGCAGTGCTTGCCGGTTGCGTAATGAGTGCCACGTCACAGTAGGACGTTGATTACGGTTACGTAGCGTTGCGCGTTACGTCACCACGGAGGGGAGTGGCGGGGCGGGAACTCGCCTATTACCGTAGTAACGCGAGCGTTACGTTACCGCCACGTACCGCTGGGGAGGTAGGGGTGATCCATAGCTCAACATGTCACGGTATCTTCAAATTGGACTGCTTATCATCTATATGTATTATTGTACTTTTATTCCAGGAAAATATGTCTATATTATCAGGACTGGATGCAGCCTTACATGAGCTCGGAATGCTGAGTGCTGTAACAGAAAGCAGGCAGGATTATTTGCGAGAGCAGAAGCAATGTTACCGTATTCCTAACCAGCCTGCTCCCAATGAGTTTTACATGAATACCCGCTATAGGACAAGTGGGGCCATTCATCAACATAAATACACCATAGTGCGACACAAGCCCTATACAGTGCCATGCTGGGGTCGAGAAGAGAGGACTCGCACAAAGAGTGAAAACTCTGATGTGGATTTGGATAGCCATTATGGAATTGCTCTATCCTCAGTTTCTGCCCAGCTACTTGAAGTCAGTAATCTTCACAAATCTCGATCCATGGAAAGTGTTACTATAAATGTGTCTGATGATGAAAGTGCCTCTCCACCACTGCATGAGGTCGAGTCTGTTTCCAGCAAAATACAGCAACTGCAGGTTAAGGAATGAATAGGCAGCTGTATGTTTTGTATTCACAACTGTGATCCATTATGATATAATTCACTGTGGGCCATCTTGTGAGGGTTGTATTTCTTGATGGTACAATTCTGCTTTTAGATGTTTCTTTGGAGGAAAATGACATACTGCTATGGAGTCTCGAATTTCTAAAGTATTTATTATATGAATTTGTCAGGCCATTTGGCATTGAATATACAGGGTGTAGCTGAAAGGTGTGGACAAACTTTGGGCACAAGTTCCACGTACCAAACAAGAAAAAATGTCCATATCAACATGTGTCCAGAACATTTAATTTGTAAGTTGTGCTGAAAGAGTAAAATTATATTAAGTGCTCAAAATGTCTTCCATAAGATTCAGTGCATGCTTTGACATGTCTTATCATGGATCAATGCATCCCTTCAGAGATTCTGGTGTAGTTGCAGAGAGTCTGACAGACATTCACAATGCAGTGGTGAAGTGCCTCTTCATTATCAACAGGATCTGCACACACAAGGGTCTTTAGGTGTCCCTACAGATAAAAATCCAGTGGATTCAAAATCTGGCAAGCGTGAAGGCCATGCAGAGGGTCCTCCTATACCTATCCCTCACATGAGAAGTGTTAAAATGTGCCAGAGCACCATCATGCATTTTTTCAGGTATAACTCACAAAGTAAATGTTTATGGACATGTGTTAATGTGAACTTTTTTCGTGTTTTGGTATGTGGAACTGGTGCCCAAGGTTTGTCCTTACCTTTTAATTACAATGTGTATAGTGAATTTATTTTAGGCCATAATGCAAGTGATAAACCACCTGAGTGGAAAAGACGAGATGCTCTTCCTCTCAAATCAGAGCACTGCGACCCAGGCTGGTAGTGGAACTGACATACCTACAGCTCAAACATACTTAAAATAAAACTTACCCAGATTAGCCCACAGGAGATGCTAGAAATGCACACCACATTCTTTATACTTCCTTAATAAGTTCATATTCACACATTAAAATTTTTATTGTAGAATAGAGTAAACTTTAAAATTGAAAACCCAGTTTCCTATGCAAGACATCTGAGGGACTTTCAAAGAAAGTGTTCATTTGGTGTGTGTGTGTGTGTGTGTGTGTGAGTGAGTGAGTGAGTGAGTGTAGTTATGACCCTCCAGTCTTTTTACTTTTCTTGCAGAAACACTTTTCATGTAGATACCATTTGTGAACATTGATTGTTTAACTAGGTATTTAACATGTGACATTTTGACACAGGAGATGACACACCTGCGTAAATGATTGCTTATCAGATTTGTCTGCCACATAATGTATAAGATTACTTCACAGTAACTCTTATGATCTGCTGGGTCAACATTGAAGAGAGGCTGGAATTGGTGCTAGGTTAGAAAATTCCCTTGACAGCAGCAAGAACAGAAGCATTTCTAGTATTTGCTATATTCTGGGTAAGTTTTCACTGTAATGTATTTTCACTAGCAGTCCCGATCTCCTCAGCTCAACTTGGTTGGAGAGAACCATCTGATTCTTTCTCCTGAGTGGTCCAGTGATTTATATGAAATTTTAAAATAATCCATTGTACTTGTTTCATTAAATTGAAATAAGAAAATTATTAAAAACTTGGACCAAATTGTATTGAAAGGGATATTGTTTCTGTGTATGATTTTTCCTTCTCTGACTCTGCTGGCTTTGGAGCAATTTTAGGACTGTTATAATATAACTGGCCTGTGTGAATTGGTGTTATGTTTCTAAACATGGAAATGTGTAAGGATTTACAATTTAATATTCAGGCTTTTCAAGTGTAAAGTTGACTCTATTTGGTGCAGAAAATTAGGGTGCCAACATTGTGTCTGTAACTAATTTTACCGGAGATAATGTATTACAATTTCTGTTTCCAGATTTGCATATTGTGATAATCCTTGTATATGTACTTGTGTGTCTACTATTGCTAATGTGTTGAAGGGCAACACATACCTGAATGGAGTGCACATTTTGTATAGTATTGTATAGTATATGATAGCACTTGGATACAAGGGTATGTAAAGAAATGCAGCACTTGACAAATCCTAGGTACTGGGTTGTCATGATGCCTTGAAATTACATTCTGGCACCTTCATTTTTCATTATTATTGTGTCACATTTTATTGATGTAAGTATTCAATATATTTTATAGCCATTCTAAAATATAGAGGTGGTGCATAACTCTGGATGAAATTTGCTGAGATCTGGAAAAAATGTTAACATATGGTGATGTTTTTTATTTCTTTTGCTTGGAATATTATGCAGTTTGATTGAGATATTCTTGAGTATGCAATATTGACCATGCACTATACATAACTTGGGAATGATGGGGGAATTTGTTTATAAGAACTATTTGGACTCTTTGGGGGTAGTATGCATTATGATTGCAATTAAGTAATGTTTGAGCCTTGAATGAAGCTTTTGAAAAGAAATAATAATTATAATTTAAATACACACACAGAAAATAATGTGTTAGAGTACAGCAGTACAAAGTAGGAAAATGAAAGTCCCCATAGCATGAAGGCATATAGACTGTATAGGTATAACACCACAGATTCACAGTCCTAGCACTAAATGAGGGTTCACATTTTCCTGTACCTGCATCCTTGTGAAAATTCCCTATCCATTACCATAATGCATATTAGATAAGAGAGTAGGAGTGTTTCAGCCATTTTGGACCTGTGGGTCGGCAGCGATAGGACTAACAGTAATATTAACACAGACTGGATACTATTTGTGGAGCACAAACCACTTTGTACAAAATCGCCAACTTAATTTATACAGTAGAATAGAATAGAATATATGAGGGGTAGGCCTTCTCGGCCCTTGCACCGCGACCTTAGGTCTGTTGTGCTTCCCATTTTTTAATTATTCCCTCAGCAACCCCACGCTTCGGATGAAGCACAGGATTTTGGATGTGGGGATGGCAGAATAGTCACTTGGTTACATAATAATTTTTACAGTAACTGGTAAATAAAAAGCATGCTATTCCAAATCGGTTCTTTAATATGCAGAGACAGGGCATATGATGAATTTGTGTAAATAAATGTGTGTATGATTTTCATAAAATTGTACATCTAATAAAACTGTATTTATTTACTGTTTAGTAGTATGAGCATATGAGTAACATATTGCTCCACACTACTTTACATTCATATATATGCCAAGTACTGTAGCCGCTCGCTGACATACAGTTGCCACGACTGTCGCTCAAGCTTGGTTCTTTGTCTCAGGGATACTTGTGCTTCGGATATGGGAGTGGAACACACTTTGGAGTTAATGAATCACGGGGTCTCCAGAACACACCTTGTATTATTGTCTCCATTAATATTGCTTACAGCGATAGTACATATTATGTTAGTCCTCCAAGCTAGCCTCTCCATCTCTTTTAACTTTTGGCAGTGGCCACACCAATTTGCTCCCAGCTCGCCAACCGTACACACTCACTAACCCCGACTGTCCCCTAATGCTCTCTTCAGCGGCTTCTTTCAAGTACAGTCCACCTCCGCCGTTACTACCACAGACTGTAATCCAATTCTCTGTTCAACGACTTCTTTCAACTATAGTCCACCTCCACTGTTACTACCACAGACTGTAATCCAATTCTCTGTTCAACGGCTTCTTTCAACTACAGTCCACCTCTGCTGTTACTATCACAGACTGTAATCCAATTCTCTGTTCAGTGGCTTCTTTCAACTACAGTCCACCTTCGCTGTTACTATCACAGACTGTAATCCAGTTCTCTGTTCAGCGGCTTCTTTCAACTAGTTACAGGTTATTCACTCTCAACAGACATGAATCGTCTGACAATATAGCGCTATACTCAGGAAAGTACTACAGCCATGATACACATGTAAGCACACTACTGTAAACTGACATTCAAGGCAACAACATCTCTACAAAGAGAACACTGCTCCAATTGTCAACCAAGAGTTAAGCATATTTATGCAACACTGTGCACTTACATGCATTCTTATCTCTTTATAAACACAGTCCATAATTTTCATACTTGAAAGACTCTCAGTAAAAATCTTTCCTCAGGGCATACACAATCAATATTCACATACTGAAACCAGTGGTTCATCTTTTCATAACTGGGCACTTATCCGAATTATACTAAAAAGTAACAATGGGAAATTACGACAAAATTAACTTATCTGGCTTGATAATACTGTGATACTCCATAACCTCTGTTCGTTATCATTACCATAACTCTTGCATGATATTTATCCCCATGCCCCGTTACTGGCACTCATACAATCGGCAGATTTGTCAAAGGTTAAGAGGGGTCGACTTTGTCCTAAGGGCTGTATTACAGATTGGCCCACGGGCATCACTTCCTCGTATTCAGGCCGAGTCAGATGACTTAGCGGTCCTGAACTCCTTTAGTGATTTCTTATTAAAATTGCCTTTTACCTTTCCTTTGCCATCAAAAATTTCAAAAATGGATGGCGACACGATCCGGGTTATCCAGAAAGGTCCCTTGTAGGGTCGCATGAACTTGTGCGTTATGTCTTGGTTCACGTCTGATACGTGATGGATCTCTACCAGCACTGCTTCGCCGTCGGCGGGTTGCCATTTCTGTTGACCACATTTCTTCCGCTTGATCCGTTCTTCGGCACGTTTTTTAGTCGCGTGAACGCCCGACTCTCCTTTTGTTCCTGCGTCAAGGGCTCGGCCTCTCCTTCGGGGGAAGCTGGCAGCAGGTTGGCAAATAACCGCGCCTCCCCGCCATACATCATTTCGTGCGGCGTAAAGCCAGTGGCGTCCGACGTGGTTTTGTTCAGCCAAGTCTTTTTGTGCGGGATCAGCTCTGGTCTTTTCTGATGTTCCTCTCGCAGTAGATCTGGAAAGCTTTTTGTATCTCCCTCATGTATCTTTCAGAGGGGTTAGATTAAGGATTCCTGATAGGTGAATACCGGGCTGTGATACCTAAAGCCTCTAACCCTCTAACCCAGCAACTCGACGTATACTGAGTGCCATGGTCGGATAAAATAATTTCGAGCATTACAGCGTGTGGGATGTAATCCTCTGTTAATCGTCGCAGACATGCCTTAGTCGTGGCTGACTTGAAGGGGTACAGTTTGACGAATTTTGTGAACACGTCCAGGCATACGAACAAATATCGAACTCCACCTCTTCCTTCCGGTCCGTAGAAGTCTACGCTAATCAGCTGTCCCTTCCTCTCAGGCAGATGAGGCCTACTCTTGACATCGTACTTCCAGTTCGGATGTTTTACCTTTTGACACGTCTCGCATATCGCCAACAGCTTTCGGACCTTGCGCCCAAGGTTCTTCAACCGGAACATGCCGTTAATAATACGGACGCATTTGTAGCACCTGGCGTGGCCGTTGGATAAGTACACATACTTAATTATTCTATTTTCCAAGTCTCGGGGCACACAGACTTTCGAGTGGGGCCCTTCCTTTGAGTCAGCGAAATACAGCAGTCCTTCATGTATTAGGAACCGGTCCTTTAGACTTTCATCCCCTTCCCTCACTCTCTGGCATATCACTCTGAACTTGGCGTCCCCGTCCTGCAAGGTCGCGAGGTTTTTTATATCCCTTCTAATGGATGGGTCCAGGCCTAACTCGATCGTCGCTATCATTATCTCTTGCGGTCGCATTAGCGCATTGTCTTGCTCAGGAATTAATCCAGCCGGATTGCGACTTAGCGTGTCGGCGAAGTGGTTTTTACAGCCCACTATGTCGACGATGTGTAAGCCATACTCCTGAATCATAACCATCCACCGGGCGATGTGGTTAGATGTGATGACGCGTCTTTTTAGGAATGACAATGACCTATGGTCTGTGTATAATCTGACTCTTCCCATACACGTAGAGACGAAACTTCTGCAATGCGTACACTACAGCAAGAAGTTCTTGTTCATATGTCGTGTACCTGTTTTTGGTAGGCGACAATATTCGGGACGCCGTCGAGATGAAGGAAGTCTGATTCCCCTCGTCGACCTGCATCAGAATACTGGAGATTGCAAAACAGTTTGCGTCCGTGTATACCATGTATGGCAAGTCATTCCGTGGGTGGGATAGATGTATGCTCACCGCAAAAGTTCCGCGCAGTCGCGCAAATGCTTCTTCATAATCCTTCGTCCACTTCCATTTCTCATTCTGTATTTCAGCATCCTGTTGCAGTTGTTCACATTAGCGTCCCTTTGTCTATAATCCATCTAAATTGCAACACTTTTTATTTTAAACTTCAGTACACTCTCTAACACTACATGTTTTGGCCTCAAAGGGCCATCTTCAGGTGTTTTTTCTACAGATATTCAATTAAGATTGTGTTGAAATTGTGTCAAAACTGCTACACTGTTTCACTGTTCCAATTCATTTTAAAACTACACGCTGTAGTCTTCTTTTGAATTAAAATGAGATAAAATTCTTTTATAATTTGTTTCTTATTGTTTTGCTTCACTCAGCATGTCGTCATTTCCATAAAATATTTTTTTTATTTATTGCCTGTTTATTTACAATTACTCTATAAAATACGAGTATTAAGTAAATTTAGTAGTCGATACAGTCAATGTAGGTGCTGTCGGCCAATGCCGGTTCGCCTTAGGTTACATATGTATGTCTTCAGGCCACTGTCGTTTGAGCCTTCGTGCAACCGTTGGTTCACTGGTGAGAGCAGCAATCAGTTCATTTGTATGATTCTTATTCCTATTTCTGTACGTGTTGTCCTGGGAATTTATTACATCCCTGGTAATTGATATTTTTAGGTTGTCATGTAAGGTTTGGTTAGACACATACCATGGAGCATTTGTCATCATTCGTAAAGTTTTTGGTTGGTATGTCTGTAGTATTTAAGTGTTAGATGGTTTAGCACATCCCCACAATTCGATCCCATATGTCCATATGGGTGTTAGTATGACTATAGATTATTAGTCTGTTTTCACGAGACAATTGAGATTTTCTGCCAATAAGCCAATTCGTTAGCTTAGTTTTAATGTTGAGCTGCTGTTTCTTTGCCTTAATATGATTTTTCCAAGTTAGCCTCCGATCAAGGTGAAGACCCAAGTACTTGACCTCATTCTTCATTGGGATGGATTCATTATTTAGTATGACTGGTGGACATTCAATGTATCTAGTTGTGAACATGATCTGAGCAGATTTATTGTTATTCACTTTGATTTTCCACTTGCAAAGCCATTGTTGAAGGACGTTGAGATGTTTTTGGAGTTTTTCAGAAGCTACAGTGGGATTTAGGTCCATTGCTAGAATCACAGTGTCATAGGCAAATGTGGCTATGTTGGTCTCGTTTGTTGTTGGAATATTGGCAGTGTAGATAAGATACAAAAACGGGTCCAAGACGCTACCTTAAGGTACTCCTGCTTGTATGGGATGGTAGTTGGTTTCATCTTTGTCTATCTTAATATCGAAGTATCTGTTCGATAGGTAGGACTTTAGTATGAGATACAGTTGACCAGGCATGACCCTTTTCATTTTGTATAGGAGTCCCTGATGCCACACTTTGTCAAATGCCTGCTGTATGTCTAAGAATACCGCGGCACATGTTTTCTTGTTTTCTAATCCGTCTGATTTTGTTGTCTATTCTATGGCATTGTTGTATGGTTGAATGGCCCTCTCTGAATCTGAATTGATGCATTGGTATCAGGTTATCAGGACTGATTATTTCTTTTATTCTTTTTCTTAACAATCGTTCAGATATCTTGGATAGTATTGGTAGCAGGCTTATGGGTCTGTAGGAGGCAGCTTCAGTAGGGGGTTTACCAGGTTTGTCGATCATAATAATTTGAGCAAATTTCCACTGTGTTAGGAAATAGGAGAGATGAAGCATTCTATTGTAAAGAGTAGTTAGGAGAACTATTGCTTTCCTGGGTAGGTGCTTAAGGATTTCCCCTACAATTAGATCATATCCAGGGTTCTTGTGTGGGTTCGTCAGTTTTATCTGCTCAATGACTTCAGCTGGTGTGATAGATCGGATTGGAGGTGACAGTTGACAAGGAGCATCCAGATAGGTACTTATTTCTTCATCTTCCTGGTTATTTAGTGGAGCAAAAGTTCTACCAAGATGTTCAACGAAGACTTGTGCTTTTCCCGAGTTGGATCTAGCCCAGTTGCCATCTTCTTGTCTGAGTGGAGATATTGTGGGTGTTGGTCTTTTGAATTTCTTGGTAGCTCTCCATGTGAATGGTCATTGGGTTCCAGATTTTTGATGTAATAATCAAAGGTCTCGTTTTTGAAGTCTTGGATGGTAGCATGGAGTCTATGAGTGAGTCTGTTGAGATGTCTTTTGTCATAAGGATCTCTTGTGTGTTGCCAGACTCTACGTACCCTCCTTTTTTCCTGGATTAATTCTTTGATACGAAGAGGCACGTTATTATCCGTTGCTTTGTGGTAATATGGGGGTGTTGATTTCCATGCTGCTTTTTGCAATAGTGCTGTAAAGTCATTGAGAGCAGCTTCGATTTCGTCTTGTTCCTTTAGTTATTGAGCTTTATATTTTGATAATAAGATCTAAAAGTTTGTGATGATGGTAAATTGTTACAATCAACATTTTGCTGGACATTATCCATCATCTTGTCTATTCTAAAAAAACAGTCTAATTTCTATTAAAAAACACAACGTTTCGGGAACTGGATTCTGTCCCCGTCTTCAGGTAAAACCTACTCAGTTGGGTCCAATAGACAGAGCTAGCCCCTATCTCCGGACAACTATGCCAATTTCCGAAGGGATTCATAAAAGAAGCACAACTTAATCCATCTGTGAGAGCTAAGA